ACTGCGACTACGACTACGACGACTACTACTACTACTAGTACTACTACTACTACTACTACTACGACAACTGCTACTACTGCGACTACAACTAAAATTACTTTGACTACTACGATTACTACGATGAATACGATGACTACGATGACTACTACTACTACTACGACTACTACTACTACTACTACTACTGCTGCTGCTGCTACTACTACTACTACTACTACTACTACTACTCCTACTCCTACTACTCCTACTCCTACTACTACTACTACTACTACTACTACTACTACTACTACTACTACTACTACTACTACTACTACTACTACTACTACTACTACTACTACTACTACTACTACTACTACTACTACTACTACTACTACTACTACTACTACTACTACTACTACTACTACTACTACTACTACTACTACTACTACTACTACTACTACTACTACTACTACTACTACTACTACTACTACTACTACTACTACTACTACTACTACTACTACTACTACTACTACTACTACTACTACTACTACTACTACTACTACTATACTACTACTACTGGTACTACTACTACTACTACTACTACTACTACTACTACTACTACTACTACTACTCCTACTACTACTACGACTACCAGCCGCCCATCACCATCATGATCATCATCATCATCAGCATCACCATCATCATAATCATCATCAGCATCATCATCGGCATCATCATCGTCATGCTCTCAAACATAATAATCAGACTCAGCATCCGCATCATCCTGACCGTCATCATCCTCATCGTCAGCTTCATCAGCATCATCATCAGCAGCATCATCAATGTATCATCCTTCTCCTCGTCCTCCTCCTACTCGTCCTCCTCTTCCTTCTCTGCCCCCCCCAGCATATGAGAAACGATTATTGTGCAGAGTATGTACCCCTGTCGGCGCTCTCACGATGCATCCAATCACTAGCCCAGCTGTTCCAAGCCGCGTCGCTTCACAAGACACCTAACAATAGACTCCCGTGAGGTCATCCAAGGCTCCAAGACGCATCACTCGTTAAGTGGGCAACACACAACGTGGGAGCCAACATGACACTTCCCTCTTCTGCCCTCCAATGTTATTCCTTCCACTTCCTTGTTGCTGCCTCGCTCTTCCCGCTCTTCCCATCTCCACCGTCCTTCCCCGTTCCATGTATGCCTGCCTGTGCTAGAGGGTCGGGGTTTCTGTCTCTATCAGGTTCAATGCTTGTTGGGTTATCGCCTCTTCGAGCTTCCGATGCTCCAAGAGGGCGCGAGAGGCCCCCAAGACTCCACCGAGACGGTTCAAGAGTCTTAGACAGCCCTAAGGAGGGCCCAAGAGTGGGAACACGAACCAAGAATTCGAGCCTTCTGCCTCAACAGGGCCCCAGAAGGCCCCATTGTCTTCTCGAATAGTTGCCGCCCAGAATGCTGCGCTGAAACGGTGGCGGAATTGCTGGAGGCAGCTGGATAAAAATCGTCTCGGCAAGCCCGTGCAACGCTCATTCATTGTGAGAATTGCAGGGCTCGTGAGCGCCACCACATCAATGTGGCTCTGGGCCGTGCACATTCTCCATCGTCACTCCCTCCGTCCCTCTGGCCAACAGTCTCGCGCTTCCTGCTCCTCGTGCTCGTCCCCCTCCTTCTCATTATTGGCGCAACGTTCAAACTGGACCGTCTGACGTTTTCCATGGACTGGAGCCCAGGCGCTGTTGCTCTGCACCTGGCGCGAGCCTTCCATGCCTGAAGGGGCCCCAGGACACACAAATAAACACACACAAATAAAAGGATTCCCCATGTTTCCCCAAATTTTCTGGGCTTGTCTTCCCCCCCACTTCCCATATTTTTCCATATTTTCTGGGGAATCGACGATTCATTGTGTCTGTGTGTTTTTCTCTCCTGAATGCTTGAACGCATGCGCCACCCACGCAGACCGCAGAGCTTCTGAGCACTACTACTCTGGCAGCCACGCCGAGTCAGAAGCACCCAACAAGGACGCACCGCAGAGCAAGCGCCAGCAACAACCACCAGGATGCCTGCGCCGTGCCCCCCAGACACTGTGGGCGGACATCGCTAAGCTTGCCCACCCCCGTACGCACCGGAGTGCAAGCGCCGGCAACAACCACCAGGATGCCTGAGCCGTGCCCCCCAGACACTGTGGGCGGACATCGCTAAGCTTGCCCACCCCCGTTATGCCTACCTACCAGACCATCCCCAACCCAACCCGAAGACCCGAATTCCGGGTTGGGGGGGGTAAGGGTTCCATGCGTGTTTTGTTCGATGTTCCCCGACCCCCCCCCCCACTGGAAATCGAGGGTAAATCTGAGCCTTCGGGTTGGGTTGGGGTGGTTTGGTGGGTGGTGACGTTATGCCCAGCACCTGCAAGGACGAAACATCGGCGGCGAGCCCAGAGGGAGCGAGAGGGGGGGGGCAGGCCTGCTCAGCAGGCGGCGGGGCTTCGCAGAAGCCCCCGCGCCCTCCGAGAGGCCTCGTGCGCCTCCTCCGAAGCCACAGACGGCTCCTCAGAAGGCGCGCTTGGACGCCCGGAATGGGCATGGAAGAAACAAGTACAGTTCCGAACAAGAAATGTTGTCCAAACTGACAACGGCTTGTTTGTCTTCAAAGAACGTCCGCGGCGGCGCGGACAGCGAGTCCTGCTCAAAATGAACAAGAAGTTCGCTGTTGGGCATGGTACCCACTCTTTCCGTACCTAGGGGAAGAAAAAGAGACATAAACATAAAAACTCGGAGGTCCGCGCGGACTTCTCGGATCGCCGCTGGGGCCCCCCCGGCGGCGCCTCCGGCGCCGCCCCTGGCGCGCTCCGCGCGCCAGGGGTGGGGGGGTCCAGCGCCGATCCGAGAAATCCGCGCGGACCTCCGAGTTTGCATGTTTATGTCTCTTGTTGGTCCCCTAGGTACCCACTCCGATCGTCCCGAGCGCGGCTGCCCGCTGAGAAGGCCTGCCCCGTCTCGCTCCCCCCGCGCGGCCCGCAGGCCGACAGCGAGAGGCAGGCTCCGCCCGGCTCGAGCCCCGTGGCACGCACTCTCTGCACCACGGCGCAGGTCACCCGCGGAGCGGCGCGGCACGGCAAGGCACGGGAACACTGCGAGTCAGGGATTTGTCCAGCGCCGGGGTGTGGAGGCCCTTCCAGCGCTCTGGCAGGACACCGTCTCTTCGGCCACGGCGTGGCGCGTCGCAGTCAGCAAAAGTATTGCGATGCGACGCGATGGTGGCTATGTGCTCATGTGCGCTTCGTACTCGGCATTTGCTTGCTTGCTTGCTACCGCCTGGGAACCGACGTCCTGGTGCCCCAGCGGGCGGTGGATATGTACATTTCGACCCCCGGAGGCCCGAATGTGTCCACCTCCACCGCCTGCCGAGGCTCCGAAAACTGACCCTCCAGGCGGTGGTCACGTATTTTTGTTGCATCACGTGCACTCTTCGCACAGCCCGCCAGGCCCATCACAAAAACCCTGGTCCCGCACTGTCAAGGCAAACGCGTGCGTCACGGAAACGGTGCAGGAGCAGCTGCACCGGGAGGAAAATCGGAACGCCTGTCCGCACAGGACGAAACGTCAGGAGCCTGAGACATGAGCCCACTGCCGTCATCCAGCGGTGGTCACGTACAAGTTCCCGCCTCGGGCACTCTTTTGTTTGATCCGCGGGTCGAGAGCGAGCCTCTTCCTGTCGAAGCTCTAAGCGGGCCGCGCACAGCTTTCATTGACATCGGGAGCGGCCAAGAGGGGGGTGTCCAAGAGGGGGGGGGTGCAAATCATGACCGGCGGCATGTGCGCGGCCCAGCGGGGGGACCAGGGACGTAATGAGATAAGAAGAGGCGCCATGAAACCTGGGGAAAAATCATGGCCCCCGCCATGATATCCACCCCCCCCCCTAGTCATCACCCCCTCTTTTCCGCCCCCGATGACAGAGGGAGGAAAACAGAAGGAGGGGCCTCACGCCGAGGCCAAGAGAGGGCAGAGCCCCGGGATCCGCCCCGGGCACACGGCGCGGCACGGCGGCACCGACCCGCCGAGCACGGCGCCGCACGGCTCCGGCAGCGCAAAGGCACGGCACGGCACGGCACGCCGCCGCCTCACCGGGCCACCCGGCGGCGGCTCGGCACGGCCCGCCGCCCCCCCTCCCGCCCAGCTGCGGCGAGCCCACAGGGGGCGCACAGAGACATACAGGGCAGTTTTTAATAGATAGGATGTTTTAAACATATCGGATGTTTGATACACGATTCATGTATGAATAAATGTATGCATGAACTCATCGTTGTTTTTGATACTAAATCCCTGCATGCTTAATACATGATCCGCACGCGGAGCATGCATTAAAAACGGCACTGTGCTGATACTATATGTCCGCCTCGGAGGCGCGTGTCCGACCCGAGCATGTAGTGTACCCACCTTTCAGTGCATCGTTTCTCGAGCGGTGTGGCCAGAAAGCGCCCGCCACGACGCATATACTTACTATGAGATTTCTCGGCGCGCGCGTCGCCCCTGGGGGGGCGACGAGCACATAGTATAAGTATGCTGGGGGGACGCCGACCACACAGGGGGAGTGGACGGGGCGGGCCTTCTCGGGAGGCTCGCAGGTCCCCCCGCGTGTCGAGAAGCCTTCTCAGCCTCCTCCCCAGAGGAGGACACAGAACACTTCTCAGAAGGCGCGAGGGCTTCTGAAAAGCCCTCGCAGTCTTCCCCCCATCGCTCGCCGCCGATCGTCACCTCCAGCCTACCAAGCCCATCCCTTCTCGTCCTCCTGGAGGTGGGGCCAAGGTTGCGGCGGCCGCTCGCGACCTGCTCCTCGGTCTTGCTGCCGCCCGCCTTCCACCACCTGGTCAGCACCTCGAGGGGGAGTCGGAGCTACAGACGAGCGCGGGGGGCAGGGAGTACACGGTCAAGTCGTGTAATAAGGACGCGCGATCAGGACGCAAGGGCCTTGGAAGGCTATGTCGACACTTTGCGAGCGGGGCGCGGCCAGCGAAAGCGGACAGGTATGGGCCGAAAGGGTCGCTCATCCTCAATATGCGGGCTGACTGCAGGTCCACCGATTCCGCACTCTCGCGCCGCCAACCTGGAGAAGGGCAATTTCTCCCGTCCCAGCCGCGAGGCGTGCGAGGCGAAACTAGAATCGCGCCACTGTGGGTGACCTGGGCACTGTCAGTGAGGGAGAGTTCGAAGACCGTGGCCAAACCCACCGCTTCCGTCCCCCGTCCCCGATCCTCTGGTCACCACGCGTAGAATAAGGAGAGGGGGACGGGGAGCTGGGGGGGGGAAGAAGAGGAGCAGCGGCAGGAAGACGAGGGGAGAGGAAGGACAAGGGAAGCAATAGGGATTCAGAAGATAGGAGGGGGGAGAGGAGGGGGAGGGGCAGGAGAAGGGGAACGGGGACGGGAGGGGAGGGGGGGAGGGAAGGGGGAGGGGAGGACAGGGAAGGGGAAGGGGGAGGGAAGGCGGAGGGGGAGAGAAGGGGGAGGGGGGAAGGGTGGGGAGGGGGAGGGGAGGGGGAGGGGACGGGGAGGGGAAGGAGGAGGGGAAGGGGAGGGGAAGGGGAGGAGGAAAGCGGAGGGAGGGAGGGAGGGAGGGGAAAGGGAGAAGGGGGAGGGGAGAATAGAAGGGAGAGGGAAAGGGGAGGGGAAAAGGGGGAGGGGAAATGGGTGGGGGTGGGTGGACAGGGGGGAGGGGGAAAGGCAGGTCGACCCCCTGCCCGCGGCCGTGCATGCAGGAAGGAGGGAGGAGAAAGGAGGACGAGGGAGGAAGCAAGGAGGAAGCAAGGAGGAGGAAGGAGGAGGAAGCAAGGAGGAAGCAAGCAGGAGCAGGGAGGAAAGAAGAGGACGAGGGAGGGAGCAAGGAGGGGGAAGAGCAAGAAAGAAACGCCCCGTGGACGGCGAAGTTCGCCCAGCGTGAACGATTCTCGGCCAAGCCCGAAGATGCTCCGGTTGGTTGGATCCAAGGCGCCTGGGAGACTGACTGACCCCAAGGCTCCGAAATCTGGAGCACCGTCCAGCGCCCCGGGCTCGGGACGAGCTGCCCGAACCCAGGCCCGAAGGGGGGGAAATAAAACAACCGACCCCCTACGCCAGCAGGGAGGAGCAGGAGGGGGAGGAGGAGGAGGAGGAGGAGGAGGAGGAGGAGGAGGAGAGGAGGAGGAGGAGGAGGAGGAGGAGGAGGAGGAGGAGGAGGAGGAGGAGGAGGAGGAGGAGGAGGAGGAGAGAGGAGGAGGAGGAGGAGGGAGGAGGAGGAGGAGGAGGAGGAGGAGGAGGAGGAGGAGAGGGAGGGGAGGAGGAGGAGGAGGAGGAGGAGAGGAGGAGGAGGAGGAGGAGGAGGAGGAGGAGGAGGAGGAGGAGGAGGAGGAGAGGAGGAGGAAGAGGAGGAGGGGGAGGAGGGGGAGGAGGAGAGGAGGGGGAGGAGGAGGAGGAGGAGGAAACTTCACGCCCGAATGCGCTCGGCCCGGAGGCGGGCGAGGCGCCCGGCCCTCAGGCGGGCGAAGGATGCCCCGCGAGATCAACTGGCCACAGTCTTTGATCGACTGATCGCTCCGATCGATCCTCAGATTGACATCGCGCCGCACACACTGTTGCGACCTTGTAGTGGCCAAGTCAGATGCAGCGCACCGTATATCATCAGCACATTCAAATCACAAGGAAGGCGGCGAGACTTTGCAGGTCTTCAGAACTTCAACATTATCAATCACATGGCACTCCCAACAGATCAACAAGGCTGCGGATCCATGACAGGCGCCCCAAAAATTGAGGTCACATAGCGCCACATAGTACCTACATGTGTTCTGGAACGTACAAAGATCAATACTGCTGCGCCACATTCGACGCAGCTGCGATATCATCAGAGCTGTCTGGATTATCCCCTGGCGATCCATACTAACGAATGTGTCCCCTCCACCCAATATAGCATCCCCAGCGTCGCCATCGTGTCACCGCCGCCAACATATACTCCACGTCTCGTACACGCCAGAAGCAAGATTCGTATGGGTGACGCTTGTGGCACCGCGCAGTGTATACCTAGTTTGCCTCCTACGCCGTTAGATAAAAGTATCGACACAGGCTTTCAATGCCTCGGAGTTGGCTGGTGGACTGGTGGTTATGCTTTTGAGACGCTGGTTACAAAGCCAAATGAGTCTCTTGTTTCAAACAAGTCTGATGTGGCATACGGCATCGCACCAGATACACCACACGGGTCGGATGAACCAGGCTGCTTTGACCTGGCAGTTGCCCTTAGCGGCTGTAGTTCTCATCAGCAGCTGTTGTCAGAGATAAATACTGGTAAAGAGCTTCACATCAGCGATAAAGGCTATGGTCACATTGCAGATGTTTGTTCACAGCTTTCAAACATTTCCCGCAGTCATCCGGACGATGAAGACTTGGAAGCATATGGAAGCATCGCCGGATTGCAAATTGAAACAATTGCTGTGGTCTTCTCAAAAGTGGAACGGAATGGAGAGCAGGCTGCAGAGTTCTTTAGTGAACACCTCGCGTACGAGACCAGTGGCGGCCTCAACACTGAAGGCACATATAGATTAGCAGTGATACACTCAACCATGCGATGCAGTAGCATGCGCACCAAGATCTATGCGAGGGCGGAATTACTTCACACGGTCACAATCGGATGGACATCGACGCGTTACGATACCATGCAGCTACCACTCTTGCAGACGTATTGCTAAATCAGAATGCCATCGGGTTCTTCCTCCGATCTGCAGATTTGGATACGATTACCTTGGGCTGCAAACTTGACAATGCCATGACGGCAGGTATGGTTGTGATTTGTGTTTGTGTTTGTGTTTGTGCTTGTGCTTGTGCTGGTGCTTGTGTTTGTGTTTGTGCTTGTGCTTGTGCGTGTGCTTGTGATTGTGTTTGTGGTTGTGTTTGTTGTTGCGTTTGTGCTTATGTTTATGTGTGTTGCGCGCGAGTGGCGTGTGCGGCGGGAGGCTCTCTGGAGAGGACGGCGCCGTCGGATGACACCAGCCCGACTCATCTCGGCGAGGCCGAGCGGCAGGTGTACGAGCGGCGGTCGAGGATTAGTTAAGGAGGTGGAGGAGGGCCGTGTGACAGGCGCCCGTGGTCTGACGCGGCTTGACGCTGTTGTACAATGCGCGGCGCCAAGTCATGCAAATGTCGCTCGAGATGTGTCTCTTGGGTGCTCGCAGTCCAGCGTTACACAGACAGTTGTATTGCCACGTCGTGCTCCCCGCCATTATCAAGTAGCTTATTACCTTGTGGGATGGGAACGTGTGAATGTGGAGAGATGGAGGAAGGGGAGTAGTCGGCATTCGTTGCGAACGCTCGGTTGCTTCCTCTGCACCCCGCTGTGGACCGAGCACCGTGACACTGCTGCGCATGCTCCAGCGCAGCGGCGCCCCCGACGAGGCGTGTATGCGAGGCCGCGTTTTCTGCCGTCGGCCTTGCTGCCCGAGACATGGGAGGGGGGAGTTTGGAGAGCCGAGGAGGCGGAAGGGGAGGTACGGTGGGCGGACAAAAAATGTCCACACTTGTCGCACCAAGACAACTCGTCGTCAAATCACGTCGAACGAATATGTATGCCCCCCGTTCCCCCAACTCAAAGTTGGCGGGGTTAGGCGGCAGGCCGCGCGCCAGGGACAAAATGTGGACACCGTGGAGGGCATCTTGGCGGGCGCTCGGTGGCTTCCTCTGCAGCGCGCGGTGGGCTGAGCACGCCGATGCTGCGGTGCACGTTCGAGCGCCGCGGGCCCCGAGGCGAACAGCGGCTGGGTGCAGCCCCGCTCCGCGGTCCGCTGCGCCACCGCATTCTTGGCCGTGGTGGTAGGCCTTTGAGGCACGCGGCAAGGGGCAGACCGTGGACCCGGAATGAGGAGGGGGAGGTACTGAGGAGAGGTGGCAAGGGGAGGAGATGGCGCTCGTTGCGGGCGCTCGGTTGCTTCCGTTGCACACTCGGAACGCGACAACGGGCCGCAGCTGTTTCAACCCTCAGTAAGGGCAGTCGCAGAGAATAGGCTGGGATGTTTGGACTTTCGTATGGAGGTGGCGGTGCAGAGGAGGACAATAACATACCATGCGTGTCGACCGTTGCAAACGTGTTGACCGCCAAGAACTTCGGCCTCGGCACCGTGTCAATCCAGCTCGACGGGCATCGGCACATTGGCCCGAATCGAGCTCAGGGCATAAGAACTTAGGCCCTCTGCACTCGATGCCTTCGGTAAAAGCCAAAAATGCTGCTTGGGAGGGTCGGGTAGATTACGTTTGTAGGGGAGGAGAATGCGCGAGTCGACCACTGCGAGCGTGTTCACCACCAGAGCTATGTTTCAAGTATGAGGGTTCGCGCTAGACCCCAGAAAAAAGTATCGAAAAGCCCAGAGGTCCCAAGGCCGAGGAGGTTTGGGGGGGGACCGCACAAACCCTGGGTAGCAGTCCAAAACTTGCCGCCCTTAGATGTTATTTCAGTGAGGTTCGCCACAAGCTCTCACTCAGAGCACTTGCAAATTAGCGTTAAAGCCGAGCATCGTAACATAGGCTCTGGAGCTTACAATCGGTGAGGGTCCTTGTATGGGTGGGTGGATAGTCATTATGATGCGGGGAGGGTGGGTCTGGTCCTTGACACTGTTCTTACTCTGGATCGTTGCTCGACGTATCGAGCTTCTCTCGCCTGTTCCGAGTTCTTTTCAGCACAGCTGCCGCGCATCACGCTTGTTCCTCTTGCACTCGTCCTCTTGGCATGTTTTGCGCCAGTTCCTATAAGAGTTCGAGTAGCTGAGGGACGCAACAGCTTCGAGCGAATGCTTGGCCAACGTATAAAGGAGGAGGACAAAAAAGGAGGAGGAGGTAGGAGGGAGGAGGGAGAGAAGGAGGAAGGGGGCCTGGGCGTGCAGGTCGATCCACTGCTCGCGGCCGTGAATGTAGGGGCCCCACCAGCCGCCCCCCCGGCTCCAAGTCCACAGACCTCGGCGAGCAGAAGATGGTGGAGGTCAAGGGCCCAGACCAGCGACGCGGGTTTTGTCCGCTGTCCCCTGTATAGCTATATATATGAGTGTGTGTATGCATATATAGATATACATATGGAAACGAGCGGATGTAACATATACATACACACATACACACATACACACATACACCTGTATACACATACACACATACACGTACATACGTACGTACGTACATACATACATACATACATACATACATACATACGTACATGCATGCGTACATGCATGCATGCATGCATGCATACATACATGCATACATACATGCATGCATGCATACATACATACCTACATAGGTACAGTTGCACATGCATTCACACATACATACATGCATGCATGCATGCAAATATACATACATGCATGCATGGATGCATACATACATACATACATACATACATACATTCATACATACATATACATATACATATACATATACATATACATATACATATACATATACATATACATATACATATACATATACATATACATATGCATATACATATACATATACATATACAGATACATATACATATACATATATGTGCGTGCATGTATATATAGCCATGCAACAACACCTACGTGCGTACCAACGTACGTACATACATACATGCATGCATACATGCATAGGTGCACATGCAAACGTAAATACATCACATTTGCAGACTTAAGCATGCATACATGCATGCAAGCATGCAGACATACATGAATATACATACATGCATACATACATACATACATGTATACATACATACATGCATACATGCATGCATACATACATACATACGTACATACTCACATACATACACACAGACACACACATACACAAGCATACATACACACATACAGACATACATGCATGCATGGATGCATACCTGCATACCAACATACATACATAAATTCAGACATACAGACATGCAGTGTTGCATGCATGCGTTCATACACAGAGACACACACATACAGACATGCATACGTAAGTACGTACGAGCCTACGTACGTGCGTACGTGAATACATGCACACATGCATACGCACATACAAACATGTATGCATACAGACATACACGCATACACACATACACACATACACAACTACATACATACATGCGTACGTACACGCATAGGAGGACGAGGAGGAGGAGGAGGAGGAGGAGGAGGAGGAGGAGGAGGAGGAGGAGGAGAGGGCAGGCGGGGCAGCGCACGCCGCCACGGCGCAGCACGGCACCACGGCCGGGCACGGCACGGCCGGGCGCGGCGGGATCACGCCGGCGACGACGACGACGACGACGACGACGACCACGACGACGACGACGACGACGACGGCGGCGGCGGCGGCGGCGGCGGCGGCGGCGAAGCCAGCGGCGGCGGCGAGGGCGGCGGCGGAGCCAGCGGCGGCGGCGGCGGCGAGGACTGCGCACGCGGAGCAGCTCGCCTATACACGCATACACGCATACACACATACACACATACACAACTGCATACATACATGTACACATAGCTGCATACATACATGCGTACGTACGTACACACACACACACACACACACATACTCACACATGCACACGCACGCCCAATGAGGGAGCCTGGACCCCCGACCTCGGTGGCCCGGGCGTGGCCCCCCAAGCGTGGCCCCCCGTCGTGAGCTGTGCAGATCTGCTTGAGGTTTTCTGCCGCAGGGGGGCCACTTTTCCTCCACTCGTCCTCACGATCGACACCACGATCGATTCCTTACAGTCGTCCTCACTGTCGACTCCACGACCGATCCCACTATGGATCTCACAATCGACCCCAAGATGCATATCACAAATCCTCAAGCCATCCACTTACTGGGGTTTTTCGCTGCCGCGTTTTTCCCACTCCCGCCACTTGCTCCCCGAGCTTTCTCCCCTCGAGGACCCCGGCGCTCTCCATCGACCTCGGCCTCCAGGGGGGAGGAGGAGGAGGAGGAGGAGGAGGAGGAGGAGGAGGAGGAGGAGGAGGAGGAGGAGGAGGTGGAGGTGGAGGAGGAGGAGGAAGGAGGAGGAGGAGGAGGAGGAGGAGGAGAGGAGGAGGGGAGGAGGAGGAGGAGGAGAGGAGGAGAGGAGAGGAGTAGGAGGGGGAGGAGGAGGAGGAGGAGGAGAAGGAGGAGGAGGAGGAGGAGGAGGGGGGGTCGTCTTCTCGGGGCCGTCCAGAAAGGGGGCCGCCCAAGCGAGGGGCTCGCAGACCATGGCCCCGGGCACGGGCGCAGCGCCGTATCAATGGGCCCAGGGACACACAAATAAATACACACAGGTATCAGGATTCCCTGTATTTTCCTATATTTTCTAGGCTTTCGTCTTCCCCCCCCACCTCCTATATTTTCCCATATTTTCTGGAGAGTCGACGATTCATTGTGTCTGTGTGCTCTTTTCCCTCCTGAAAGAAGCGGGGTGCGTTTAAGTCGGGCGTGTCCCCTACAGGGGGCTTGTGGGCGAAAAGTAAATAACACTCCAAAGATACCCCCCGAATGGGCAAAAACAGTCCAGAGATCGTCCCCCGACTATGTTTCTATCATTTTTGCATATTCTCCCTGTAGAGGGACAGGCCCGACTTAGGGGTCCAAAAAAATTACGTTTTCGAGGCCCGGGCGTTTTCAGGGCCCGGGGCCGTCAAGAACGGATCCAGGACGAAGGCCTGTCCCTGGGGGGCGAAGGGGTCGGGATCTCTGGAGAAGTCGGGCCGCAGGATGCCTTCGGAGGCGACGGCCTCCTGGGAAGAGGGCGGCCGACCCAGAAGCCACACGCCCACAGTGCACGTGCGAGTCACGGTCAGGGCGTTCTCAGAGGAGCTCCCCCAGTTCAGCGGCCGAAGACCACGCACCACAGGGCTGTCGATGATGCTGCTCAGGCCGGATCTGTTCTTCATCTCTGGGAAGCCGTCGATCACGCCGTGCATGACGTAGTTGGGGTAGGCGCCCTTGCCCTCGTACTCGCGCTGCAGCTGCACCTCCACGATTTGCGCGTGCCTGCCTTCTCCGAGCATCTCATTCCAGGTGGCTGGGCGCTTGAAGTCGTCCGAGGAATGCTTGATCGAGAAGTACAGTTTCGGGTGCGTGGGGACGCGGTTCGTCATGTTGACATACCTAGGGGAACGAACAATGATATACACATAAAAACTCGGAGGCCCGCGCGGATGTCTCGGCTCGGCGCTGGGGCCCACTGGCGTCGCCTCCGGCGCCGCCCCTGGCGCGCTCTGCGCGCCAAGGAGGGAGGGTCCAGCGCCGATCCGAGAAATCCGCGCGGACCTCCGAGTTTTTATTTGTATATCATTGTTCGTTCCCCTAATACCACTCCTTCTTGCTCGGCCACGATCGCCAGCTGCGGATGACCAGATCCTTGTCGTACTTGTCGTTGACCAGCTCGCTCAGTACAGTGACGAAGGACACCCAGCTGTCGATGGAGCCGTCAAGAGGGTTGTTTCCCCTGTGGTACGGCGTGTCGTAGACGTACGTCTCGCCTGTGCGGACGACCCAACCATCACATTCTGGAAACTTCGTGAAGGCCTCGTGCACCAACGTGGCCAGCAGCTGCCGAGACGCCTCGTTCCACACTAGCGTTCCGTTGATGTTGGTGGCATTGGGGAACGCGTCTATCACGGCCGTGGGCAAGACCAACAAGTCTACCCACCAGTAGGCCTTCAGGCCCGCCGCCTGTGGCTAGCAGGAAGAGCAAGGAGAGGCTGAATGAAGGGTCGCGCCCGAGGCGTTCGAGGACAGCCCTCGCCTTCGAGGATCGAAGGAGTTGCCATCTCCTCCTCGACGGAGGGCTGTGGAAGGCGGCGGAAGTCACCGACCGCCGGCGGAAGCCGGCGAAGACCAGCGGAGACCGGCGGAAGTTACAATCGGCCTCCCACGAAGGCAAGGTTTTCTGAGGAGGAAGAGGAGGAGGAGGAGGAGGAGGAGGAGGAGGAGGAGAAAGAGGAGGAGGAGGAGGAGGAGGAGGAGGAGGAGGAGGAGGAGGAGGAGGGGGAGACAAACGAAAAGGAGATGGAGAAGGTGGCCAAAAACGGGCCAGGGCTTCTCAAACCTATCGGGGAGCTCGCCCCTGGGGCCTGCACAGGTCCACACAATGGCCCCTTACCGAGCCCCGGGTCGGAGTACACCGTGAGTTCCCGAGCGCTTTTGGCCCGTGGCCAAAGAGGACCTCAAACGTCGCGTTGGGCGTGGCCCAATGGGGGGATGCGCGGGGGGGGGCGGCAAAACGTGCACTGCTCGTGCGTCAGGGGCCTCATTGGTATCCCCCGTTATTTACCCCCCCATTTACCGCCCCGTCATGACCCAACGCCCCATCGCTCCCCAATTGTGCACCAATCCCAACCACCACTGCCACAGGAACGACGGGGGAAAAGGGAGCATGGGGAGGCTTTCCTCCTCCGCCTCCTCCTCCTCCGCCAGTTCCCCCTCTTCCCCCTCCTCCACATCCTCCCCCTATGCCTCTCCTGTTCCTCCTCCTCCTCCTCCTCCTCCTCCTTTTCCTCCTCCTCCTCCTCCTCATGCTCCTCCTCCTGCTCCTGAATCATGAAAGAAGTTTTTTCCCCCTGGATGGAAGCAACACTTCGACAAAACAATCGCGGTGCAAGATTTTGCGCGCTGCCTCTCATGAACCGCACGGACAGGCACGCGTGCCCATTTTGTCGGAACGCGATAAACTAACACCCCTTTCCCCCCCCTTCCTCGGCTTGTACGCCGAATGTGGTAATGGGCGAAATATGAACAACATAAGCCGACAGGGCGGCGGAAAATTGCAAAACGAATGGCAGTGCAGCTGAGCCAGGAGTCCATCCTAGCAAATCAAATTAGAAGTGACAACAAAACCGCGCGCAACTGGCACAGGCATAGGGCGACTAATCTTTGTGCGTAAACGAGCGGGGCCCTCCGAACACACAATGCATTACTTTAGGTATCGCGAAGTGCCGAACCACGCAGAATGGTTAACATATTCTGTAGTGTGTAAGCGAACACCTGGATCTCAACTGATCCTGAGCTTGGGTCTCCGCCAAAAAGGACGCGATGATAACCTCGAGGTGGGTAAAGCTACCGACCCGAAGCACGCGCCAATTCGTGCCGTCCGCTACAATGTGCTGGTTGGTACTTCGCATTTTCATGGAAGTATCGCCCCTGTCGGCATACTTGGTTTAAGCGTATGAAAGATTCTCATGCGTTCCAACTTTGATAAGGTCGATGCCTCCTCGTCGTATTTGCCCCTGTGACCAAAATTGACGACCCTCGATGCGTCTAGATGTGCCTAGCCCGCGCCGGCTCGCAGTAGCAACGGCCGCACTCGCATGGCCCCCCAGCGCGGTGCTGCAGTCATCGCTCAAAAAATATGAAAACTGAACGTGGTCCGGATACGACCGATCCACCCTCGACCATTCCATTATACAGCGCTTCTCCAAAGGGTAGTGCCACTGCACTCTGAGTCAAACTCGACGACCCCATTCAATGCAAATCCCCGCACGAGTGATCATCCATGCGTTTATTTGCATGTCCTCTTACCTCCAACGCAATCAGTTTCGGTCCACGCTGTTAACTCCTGAGGGCGCTCCTGACATAAGCGCTGGCATCCGCACCTGACGCGGTTCTTGAGATACTTGCCTAACTTCACGAAGCTTTCCCATGCCCCTCGGGCCAGGTCCGCCATAGAGCGCGCAAGTTCCGTAACTGAAAAAGGCACGCATGAGCGGCCCCGTGCAAGAAGGTTGGCCCGGGCCATTGAAGCTCGGCATTTATTCGCTTCGCGTTTCGCTCGGGGTTCCTCATTCTTCTCTCCGCAAGCATGCTTTTCTCGCCTGGCACCTCGCATATCACCATACATTGCTCCAAGCCAAAATCTCTAAAACATATCTCAGCATGCCTCTCGTCCGACACAAACCATAAACCGCCCCAGCTACGTTCCGCGATTCGGTTGAAGATCCTGCTAGACTCCGCATCTTTCTAGCCCTGGCCCGAATCTGGCTCGAATCCAACATCGAACGCCAATTTAATTTCGCCCTCGAACGAATCAAAATCTGCGCCATTGCCCAACGCAATGAAATCGACACCACGAACGGCTAATCAGCCAGACCCGCCACGCCACAAGTTCAAGCGCGCGGCGGGGCGCTTTCCCGCTTCCAAAACCAACGTCACGCGCAAGGCCCACATAGCAGCATGACCAGTCGCAGGCGGCGCCCCGCCTGCCGCGCGTTGACTTCAGTAGCCTCCCGCGCATGCCCGGCGCGCGGTCTTCTTTGGGCAACCTACGAACGATTTTATTACTTGCCATGGCGTGCAAGCATGCCCGGTAAACAAATTTACAAATCCCAACTTAAATCTCCCTCGCGCCCCCTTCGGGCGCGACCCATGTCCCCCGTAACTGCCATGGAGAACGGCAGCTTCTGAGCTTCCAATGCAGGGAAGGCCGCGACTGCGCTCCTCTTGGGAAATGCATTTACCTGCCGGGCCACGAGCAGGGATCTGCACTCAGGATTGGCCTCGTCGCCGCGGTTGAAACCGATCCGCCTCGCAAATGTGGGCGATTTGCCAGCGACAACCCAACATGATTCCTCGTTCACTCTCTCAGATACCTCATGCTACCTGAGCTGGTCAATCTCCCCCACGAGCCCATGCCTGATTTCGGATCGAGCTCGCCGCGCGATGCACCGCCCAAAGCACGCACTTAGTCATTGTCTCTAGGACCTACACATACGCCCCCCTCCGGCAACGGACCGCGCCTCATCGATGCCCACGTGCGCCTCGCACGCCCCTGAAGTTTCCAGCCACCCCTGGCGTCGGCCTGAAACGCGCGTCCGTTGGCGGGGCTGGCGGCCCCGGGCAACTCGGCGCGCGGTTTTAGCGGCCGCGCTGCAGCTCTCCCTCTCATTTCTCTCCTCTGCTCATTCCTCACCAACGCCCCTATCCTCGGACACCTGACAGGCGGCCAAATCACGAGTGGCCCCGCACGGGCACGCGCTCCGCGTCGGCCCCGCGTCGCCTCTGGACGCGCAAGAGGACGCGCCGCGATCCTTCCTTGCCCAGGCTGGCGCAGTCCAGTTCCCACGCCCGTTTGATTCGAACGACCCCGCGCGGCCTGCGCCCCAACCTGATTCGGACGCACTTGACATCAGCCTCGTTAGTTCTGAATGAACACTTGATCCGGTCATCGACCGCCACCTGGCCGACGGCCCTCAAGTGTCGCTCATCAAAGACGGACAGGATCGAAGATTGTGGGGGTGAGATCGCAGCGTAACGGAGCCCCCCCACCGGGACATCGAGTTTCGAGTTCGCGCTCGTGCCGCGCGCGCGGGCGAGGCGAAGCTGCGTGGGCCAGCGAAAGGAATTAACCCTGCTGTCGCTAGGGGTCCGCCAACACAAATGAGCCCCCCCCCCCCCGGCCTTATCAAGCGATAGCCCACGTTGTCCCGTCGGTTGCCCGTCGGTTGCCCCGTCGGCAGCCCACGTTGCCCCGTCGGTTGCCCGTCGCTGGGGCGACACAAGTCGCCCAAGCGAAGGAACATAAAAAAAAACCCGCCACGTCATCCACACCATCATCGCCCATGGGCACCACGTTCATCACAGTTGTCGCCATGGGCCGCCCCACACACACACATACACACACACACACACACACACACACACAACCTCCTTATCACCCACTGGGTGGTCGCATAGGCATGCATCTGATGTTATCGTTCTGCCTCCTTCGATTAACTCAATGCGTTGTCGCAGTCCGTGACCTCGCGTAAAAGGGCTCTTCCGACGTAGGATCTGCTCGTCATGAACCGCGCGGGTTTCATAATCGAGCCCTCTTCTCCTCTTACCACCTGCTTCAAGTCACGCCAGCGCAAGTCACCATCGCGCGCCCACGCGTCGCCGCGCCCTAGCATTCCACGCACTGCCGACGCGGCGCAACGCCAGGCCCCCGAAGGACGCTCGCAGAGAACACGCAAGCAATCATATCTCTTCGCGAACATGAGGCGCCCAACCCCAAGACCGAACGTCCCCCCGCAGCATGTCGGGCCCAAGTCGCTTCGATCCGAAGGGCGCAACCCGCTGAAGGCTGCGCGCGTCGGACCAGACTTCGGCAAACAAACCGCGGGGCTCGAGGACAAAGACAATCTGATGCGCGTCTCGAAGCGAGCGCGCGGCTCGGCCGCGCCGCTGGACGGGGGGGGGGCAACAGGGATATCGACCCGCGCGGCGCCCCCGCCCCCCCGTGACTTCGGGTCGCCAGGCGGCGCGCGGCGCCCCCGCGGCGCTCCCCGAAAGCTCGCCCTCAAACGCGGCCCTTAAATTTACAATAGGAATCCGCGCGTTCAAGGGGCACCGCGCGCGAGCGCGTTCACGGGCGCATGAGGGAGCGCATCAAGGGGCCGACTAAGGGGCGCACGAAGGGGCTAGGGACGCATGAAGGGGCGCAGTGCGGGGCGCGTTAAGGGGGGGAAATGGGCGCATCAAGGCGCGCAAATTCAGGGGCGCATTGAAGGACGCACCGGGGGCGAATTCTGCGGCAAATTAAGGAACGCATCAAGAGACGCATTGGAGGGCGCATCTAGGCGCGCCGAATGCCCCCTCGACTCCCCCATTCGGACATGCTTCTCCCGCGTCGCAGTTTCCCTTGCTGCCACCCCTACCCCGTTCAACTCTGCCTCCGCCCCCGCCCCCCCCGCGGGCGACGAGCGCCGAAATGTCGCGCGGAACCACGAAGTGCGTGCATTTTCTGGCGCGCGAGCAGATCTCGACGTGCAATCGCCAGCGATTCGGCGAACATGTTTGACACCGCGCGCGGGGCGCGCGACGATGGCAGCGGCAGTTGCCACTGCGTGGAGCCCCCTAAACGCGCATCCTTTTTAAATGGTAATAGTGCACTTGGGATGCTTACAAGAGCGTCTAGCCATATGAGCCACATGTGCACCTCATATTGTAGGGCAGTGCGATGGTGAACACATGTCTACGATAGCTGTGCTAAAAGAGCGCGTCTACGTGAGCGACGAGCACACGCGCGCGCAGCTCGGCTGCACATCCAACACATGTATACGTTCATCCGCAAGCATACGTTCATCGGCAATGCGTCGCAAAGAATGCATCGGCACTGCGTCGCAAACGGCCGACGGCAAGATTGGAAAGCACCAGGAAAGAAAAAAAACAAAAAACGGCGGCACAAGCTCTGCACCAGCAACACCTGGTCACTCCTCCTCGACCGCCGCACGCAACGTGGAGAGCCACTCGGGACACAACGCAAAAGCAGAAAACAAGCAGACCGCCAGATACACCACCACAGAACGGCGACGAACGGAGCCGTGAAAGCACCCTTGGCGGCTCCCCTTAGGTAGCTGAAACCAGCGCCCCGCCCGAGACATCCTCACAATCTGCTCTCCAAGCGAAGGACGTTGAGACAGAAAACAAGCAAACCGCTTGAGACATCCCCACAAAACGGCCGCGAACGGGACCGCGCCATACCCCTCGGCGGCTCCTGGGTAGCTGAAACGGGAGGGACGTTTTCCCAGGTACAGCACGTTCGTGGTGCTGCGAGGAATGCCCCCCCCCCCACGCTCGGCGTCCGAAGCGAGTGGTCCTGGGCCCTCTCCCCCTTGGACGCCTCCTCTTTCCCCTCAGTGGGACCTCCGTGGGACTCCAGGGACTCCAGGCCGCTGGGTGCTGAGCGGGGGCTGGGATGTTCTGGGACGGCCCAAACGTACTCCCAGGACGACGTACCCCCATAGAGGTGTCGCAGCGGCCACGGTTCCAGCCTCGGTGGACGCAAAATCGCAACCACAGGGCGTCCCAAGGTGGATCCCGAGGCACCCTTTCCAGGGTATGTTTGTTCTGGGGTTGATTTGCTCCCAGAAATAATTTCGAGCACCCGGAAAAATGTCGAAAGGGTGTCGAGACAAAGTCGAAACAACGTCGGACGAGTGCCTCCCAGGGCCCGACACGTGGAAACCCTGTGAGTTCCGTTACTTTTTGGGGGGGGCTCGAACTTATTTTGGGTGATCAAGGCTTTCATATTTTGGCACATCACAACTCTGGGGGGCGTTCGGCCTGACCTGCATGGTTCGGCCTTTCCTGGGATGAGGTAGCCTCGCCGAGGACAGGACAGCGGCGGCCGCCGCGGCCAGAGCACACGGGGCAAAGGCCGCCGACTCCCCCCTGTTGAGGGGTCGCTCCCCCCTTTGCCCGAATGTGTGGGGTCGCCCCCCTAGCAGCTTAAGTCTGCGCCTCCTCCTCCTCCTCCTCCTCCTCCTCCTCCTCCTCCTGCTCCTGCTCCTGCTCCTGCTCCTCCTCCTCCTCCTCCTCCTCCTCCTCCTCCTCCTCCTCCTCCTCCTCCTCCTTCTTCTCCTCTTATTACGATTAGTAATATTATTGTTATTACTAATATGATTGTTATTCGTAGTATTCGTATCATTAGCAATATTATTATTCTTATTCGCACGATGCTGATCATTAGTATTCGCAGTATTAATCTTATTATTAGTCTTAATATTGTGCTGCGTCTCATTAGTATTATCATTGTTATGATTCGTGTTCTGCGTATGTCTCTTAGTATCATTCGTAGTCTTAGTAGTATGCTTATGATTCTTCGTTTTAGCAGTATGATTATTGTTATTACTAACAATAAGTAGTATTATTAATCATAATATTATTACTAATATTATTATTATTATTATTAGTATTAGTAGTAGTAGTAGTAGTACTAGTAGTAGTAGTAGTAGTAGTAGTAGTAGTAGTAGTAGTAGCAGCAGTAGTAGTAGTAGTAGTAGTAGTAGTAGTAGTAGTAGTAGTATAGTAGTATAGTAGTAGTAGTAGTAGTAGTAGTAGTAGTAGTAGTAGTAGTAGTAGTAGTAGTAGTAGTAAGTAGTAGTATTCGTCGTCTCGTCTCTTTTCTTATTCGTCGTCGTCCTCCTCCTCCTCCTCCTTCTGCTCCTCCTCCTCCTGCTCCTCCTCCTCCTCCTCCTGCTCCTCCTCCTCCTCCTCCTCCTCCTCCCTCTCCTACCTTATGGTAGTGGCGGTTGAGCAGGGGGGGAGCGGGTGCTGAGGGGAATGGGTCCTGGACCCTGGGGCCTTCCCCCAGGACGAGTTTTTCATCACGAGTCGTTTTCTGACAGTCCTGAGGCCCCTTGGGGGCCACGAGAGCCCGAAAACGGTAAAAAAAACAAAAAACAAAAAAAAAAAAAAAAAAAAACTCGGGGCCCGTTTCCTTCATGACCCACTTCCCCCATGGCGAAGGGTGGAACATCGGCCCGCCATCACCCAGACCTCGCGCGCCGTGCCCTTGGATCCCCAGCCCGCCCAAGCCACCCGCGTCGCTCCCGAGGGCCGGTGCTCCCCAGAGAGCGGGCCCCCACCGCACCCGATTCCTCCGAGAGCGCCAGAGCACGTCCGTCGTTCGGGGCTTACAGTCAACGCGTAGAAAAAAGGACGCACGATCAGGATGCAAGGGCCCTGGAAGGCCACGTCGACGCTTCGCGAGCGGGGCGCGGCCAGCGAGAGCGGCCAAGGGTGGGCCGAAGGGGAAGGATGCAAGGGCAACCTTGGAAAGTCGCTCATCCTCACTGTGCAGATCAATCGGCTGTAAGGGCTTGACGATTTCTGCCGTCCCTCGACTGGCGCTGGAGCGGCAAGGATGTGCTCCAAACGTCCTCGGAAACATCTGCGTTCACTTGGATTTGCAACGATCTACCTGGGCTTACCTCGATTCATCTTCATGTACCTTACAGGGCCGTTTTTCATACATAGCACTATATATATGCTTGATACATGAATAGATGTATGTATACATTTATGCATAAACTCATCCTCGCATGTATTACTCAACCCTCTATTTTTTGCATAGATGGTCCGCACGCGGAGCATGTATTAAAAACGGCACTGTAATCTACCCAGCTCGATCCTCACAAGTCTCTCAGCGAAAAAACGCCAGACCCTCGGGGAACTTTGGGTCGGCCAATGCCTTCGCCCTCCGGAGCGCCCTTCGGACTCCTGGCGGAAGGAAAAACTGCATAACCATCGGTCGGAAGTGGGTGGAAGTATGAAGCAAGAAGGCGTTCGAAGTAGATTAGGTCTCCACCCGCCCCCTGAAGAGGAAGAAAAGGGGAAAACCCCTCGATGATTGAAATAGAAAGGCACCTGAAGTAGATTGCAATCTTGGAATCCAGAGGTAGCTAGTTTCAACGACCGATGGATCAACCGAATTTTTCGGAGGTCCGCGCAGATTTCTTGGATCCAGACGCGCCGCCAGCAGAGTCTAGCGCCGGTGCAAGCCGCGCGGAGCTCCGAAAAATTCTGTCCGTACAGTTTGTTCTTCTCCGAACTCCGACAGAATAGGTATTCAGCCACTGCCTCTGCTCGGAGCCCTCCGGAAAGAAATCGTGGCCCAGGCTGGAAAAGTCTACCGCCTGCGTGCCGGACACCTCGCCAGTGGAGGTCTGGCCCGTGTACCTATGGCAAGGACATTCGAACTGCATGTGCTAGGACCAGTGTCTGAATCGTGGGAGACCGTCGAAAACGTGAGCGTGCCGAAACCCTCGCCTTCACAGGTCCCGTCAATTCGCGCATCGCGCCCCACGATGCGCGACGCGCGGTTATCTTCGCGCCCTCACGCCGCCGCCCTGGAGAAGGGCGTCTCTCCGGTCCAGGCCGCAAGTGTGCGACGCGCGGCTGTCTTGGCGCCCCCCTCGGGCGGACACCGAGCACTTGGGCGCGACACGTCACCCCTCGACTTCTCAGGTCACCCAGCCTGGCGCCCCACGATTGCGAGGCGGGGGCTCATCCATATCCACCGCCTGGGCACCGACGTCCCGGTGCCCCAGCGGGCGGTGGACCAGGATATAACTACCTCGGCCCCTGAGGGCCCGAACGTGTCCATATCCACCGCCTGCCGAGGCTCCGAGCACTGACCCTCCAGGCGGTGGTCACGCACTCGCCATCGCTCGGACGTCCATCCCCTGTGCTTTTTTTTCGGTTTCGTGCGTGGCTTCTTCGCCAGATGATCAAGGATGCTCCTCGATGGCCCTCGACGAAGGAAAAATGCACACGTCCGAGCGATGCCAAGCGTATAGGCTCCCTAGGGGGCCACGTGCGAACCCTACCCCTGCCCCTCACGCAGAGCGCAGTGCTCCTCGCGGCCCCCCAGGCGCGATCCGTCACCCCTCGACTCCCCAGGTCGCCCAACTTTGAAGGGGCCCTGGGACACACAAATAAACACACACAAATATATATATATATATATATATTTATTTATTCCCCATATTGTCCTATATGTTCGGGGTGTTCGTCTTCTCCCCCCCCTTCCCATATTTTCCCACATTCTCTTGGGGCATCGACGATTGAGTGTGTCTGTGTGTTTTCTCCCCTCCTGACAACTTGGCGCCCCGCGACGCGCGAGGCGCCGTCACCCCGCGCGCCCTCGCGCCGCCGCCCAGGAGGAGGAGCGCCTCTCCCCAGCCCAGGCCGTGATGCGCGACGCCCGCCACCGGCGAGGCCTGCTGGTGCCCTCCTCCTCCTCCTCCTCCTCCTCCTCCTCCTCCTCCTCCTCCTCCTCCTCCTCCTCTCTCCTCCTCCTCTTCCTCCTCCTCCTCC